GTTTTTCCATCAGATGTTCATGTATTTAACAGGGATTTGTACTTTGAATGTCTCATGTTGTTAATTTCAAATTATTCGTTAACAGAATTTCATACCAAACATGAAAATGATGCTTACAATCTCTTTCTAAGACGTGTATCTTCTTTTGTAATTACATGCATTAATATTGAAGCACAACTTTCTCAGACACAGAATAAAGCTGTATCTGATGATTTGTTTGTATTCGTTTCTACTTTTTGTCCAGACATGCTTTGTAAATTGCAGTATTATGGTATAAGTGCGCGTAATGCGTTTCGCGTTGTCTTACAATACAATGATAATAACAAATCACAACTTTTAAGTGAAATTGAACAATGTGATTGTATGGCACTTTCCGGGGATAGTTCAAGTAAAAATTATGAAGAAAAATGTGTGATAATAATACGTTTTTGTAAAGGACGTACTTACAAAACAGTACCTTTGATTACTCAGACTTATGCAGGTGGTTCATCTGCACAAAAAATAGCAGAGTGGATGTTTAGTGAATTAAATATGCTTACTGACTTATTTCCATTTTTAACAAAATTGTTAATAATTGTTGGGACGGAGCGCGTAATGCTCAAAATGCTATTCAGGTATTTAACGATATTATATTATCTTACAAACAACAAAAACAACACCTCATTGGGTGGTTTAATTCATCCAATTGGTGCTTTGCGCATCTTACGGCGTTGGTTGGAGTCAGTTTGATGAAATCGTCCGATGGTGAATTATTAGTTAATTATACCAAATTCGTCTGTCAAAAAAGTAACAGAATGATGTTTGAAGAATATAAAAATAACATTTCACCAAAAATTAAAGCAGTAGCAGAAACTCGTTTTTTATCTATTTTTGACAACATCGATCAGATATGTCGTCAAATTATCGACATAACAAACTTCACTAATATACATATTACCGAATTGAGGTCTTTTTTATTAGATAACTGTAAAATTTTAAGTACGAATTTTATTAAAGAATTCGTTCCTAATTCAAAACATTTTATAAATCTTTTGTATGTCTATCGAGATGTATTATCTCTTTTAAAAGATTTGTGTGACAGCCTTCAAGAAGTTTATTGTGTTTTACCTGTTTATTGGAATAGAATAAACAACTTTAGATTATTATTAAGAGTATTAATCAGGCGTATTGATGACAACAACGAAAATAAGTTGGTGGCATTTGATTATACAAAAAGGGACTTAAATATAGACATCGATTTAATAAGGAATGTTTTAGTTAAGACTCCATTGTATTTTGATGTTCGTTATTTTAAAATTGGAAGTTCTGGAGATATAGATGGGGTTGAAAAATATTTTGATGTTGTCAATTGTAATTTACTTCCTGGATTGGAAACAAGACTAAACATCGAGAATCATTTGGACGACCTACTTTATATTTTTAACATTCCTGATGAATTAATAAAAAATGGTAAGTTTGATACAGACTCTTTCCCGGTGTATTTCCAATGTCTATATTCAGAAGTGAATGCTCTCATGTTGTTTATAAACTCATTAAATAAAACAGATATAGATTATATAGTTGAAAGTTCTGGTAATATTTTACC